AGAGATAGAAAGTTGAAAAAAAAATTATTAGAGACAATATAAAAGAAGGTACATATCAGTCTCACTTGCTGAAAATACTTCAATAAAATCAAAAGTCAAATAAAGTAATGACCTTCTATTCTGATAGATCACTGGTCAATCATGAAATGAAAGAAATAAAAATAGAAGTAACATGGATTCAAATAGGAGAAACAGGAAAAGAAAGCAAATTTCAAACAGGGATAGAAAACCAACCATCATTAATAAAGGCAAAAGTAATAGCAATAGTTACTATACTACTAGTTGTTCCTATTGAAAGTAGAATCAAAATCTATGCGGACAATCAAGCTTGTATCTTAAAATAAAAAAAATTGAAGAAAAAAGCTTCTAGAAAGATATATAAAAGGTGATTGAAAGAAAAAAACTGATCTCTATAGATGTAAATGCTAAATCTTATGGAAAAAAAATACTTGAACCTGGAACTAATCAAGGTTAAGGTTCACTTCAATAATAAATATAATGAAGAAGTAGATGACTTGATCAAAGAAGTGCTTCAACTTCCTGTAATAGAATAGAAAATCTTATATCATCCAAAATTATTACAAAAATTAAATAGTAAAATATAATACTAAATATTTCAATAAGACAATTTATCAAAAAAATAAATAGTAAAACAATAGTCTATTAATAGACCCAATAGAATAGAACTCAGAAAAAATAGAATTAGTAAATACAAAATTAGCATAAATATATATGAAATCTTATATGAAATAGAATGAAGATTGGGCATATATGGGATACTTTCTTTAAAGACTCTTATAAAAAAAGTTTTTTTTGTGAAATTGACAAATAATGAATTACTGACTTTAACAAAACTAGCAATAAGAAGATTGATCTTTATAAATAAATAGTATATATATAGTGCAACAAAGATGCAAAAATAATGAATCACTTATTAGAATACCCAGCATATAAAAAGCAATTGCAAGAAGTATGGATGAAAGAATTAAAAGAGGTACTAAAGGAATTTAAGAAATTTTTTCAAGAAAGAAAAGAAAAAATGGAAAAAAAAAATATATAGCTAATTACAAATAATAGAGAGAAGAGAAGAAAATCAGATAAACTAATTTTCAAACTTATAGAAGAAGTCTTCAAAAGTGATTATAGGATGCTAAGCTTTTGTATAGGATTTATAAGAAATAACTGGCTTATGTAATGACTGATTTTAAATGTTATAATAAAAGAATAGGACAAAAAGCTCATAGGTGAATTACAAAAATGCAGAAGAAGATTTATAATCATATTTGGAAAGAGATTTGAAACAAATAATGTATAAAAGTAATCAAATTGAAATAGTTATAGGGAATTAATAGAAAGAATAAAGTAAGAAGATTAAGTCTAAAAGTTCAAAAGATCAAGATTAAGATCAAAAAACAATTCCTAAAAAAGAAAGATTGAATGATAAGAATCTGAAATAGATATTAACAAAAGGAATTGAATACAGAATAAACTAGTTAAGTTTTGATCTCTGTCAGAGCTTTGAAAAATGATCTGCAGTAGTAACCTACAGGCAATAATATTAATAGTTGAAAGGATATTTACTTAAACTGTTAGTGAAATAATAAATTACTTTTAAAGTTGCACTTTGAATAACAATAGTCAAGACAAGTGAGTTGATTAGAGATTTAGCTTTAGCATCATATTAATATGTAAAGTCTACAAAATATTTAATAAAGTATACTTAACTAACTTGACAAAGAAAAAAAAAAAAAACTATATAAAGATTTTTTTAAAATTAATTATTAAAAATTTGTTAAAATATACTTTAAAAAAAATATTTTTAAAAAAATATTGATTATAAAAATTTTATAATGAAATATTATTATAATTATTTTAATCATTAAATTTATAAAACAAAGATATATAAATATATAAATAAAATTTTTACAATTTTTTATTAAAAAAAATTTTTTTAATTATATAATTTATTTAAGTTTAATAAACAAAAAATATCAATTTAATAATAATTTACTATTTTTGAACTTTTGAAAAATTTTTAAAATTAAATTTACAAAATAAAAATTTAATAAATTATATTGAATATATTATTATATCATTAAGAATCTTTAAGAATTTTTTTACTATATCAAAAAAATTTTTTTTTTGATTTTTAATTAATTATTTTTAAAAAAATTTACTATAGTAAAAATCTATTTACCGCCTGTTTTTTATATAAATTTATATATAAAAATTTATAAAAATTTTTATTTGGTTATTTTTTTAACTTTAAATCAAATTTTTGAAAGAAAATTATTAATTAATTATTATTAAAACTCAAATATTTTTTATATTAAGTTAAAAATTATATATATATTTAAAATTTTATTTTAATTAAATATTTATTTACTAAATTATAATAAAAAATAAAAGGGCAAAAAGTTTTGTTCCAAACTTTATACTGCATATATAGTTTAATAAAGCATACACAGTTAACCTAATAAAGAAGTATTAAAAATAAATAAATAAATAAATTTATTATTGATTCACAGATATAAATTTTATTTACACCTTATAATACATTAAAAATACACGTGAGCAGATGAAACCCTAAACTTTTTACTAAATCTTGCATTAGCAATTAAAATAGTCCAAATTTACAATTCTGAAGATTTGCAATTAAACTCCGATATATTCAAAACCGCACCCAATACATTTATTAAATCCGCCCTACTGCTATTCTATTGTAAATCTTTCCTCATTGCATAGGCATCTTCGCCGTCTGCGTAATATTTCTTTTCTACTTCGTGAATCCTAGCGAATGAAAATGGCAAGTAATTGTTAATCGAAATATTATCACAAAGATGTGTCCTTCGAATAAAACGTTACCTAAATTTGAGAGTATCTTTATACAACTGCAATGCTGCACGGTTGCTCTTGCGGACATGCAACGAAACATATTTTGCGTTGAATACTTCGACCATATTTTTTTCTTGCAAATAGGAGAATCGGAATTTTTTATTATAATGAAGGTGGTGACTTATATTTAATTCTGACCAAAAAATAAAATTAAGAAGTTATGATACATACGAGCCTGTGTCATTAATTTTTCAGCAATTCCTAATCTTCGGTATGTTCTCATGACCGAGAGAGATGTTATGTGGCCATGTGGAGGTTCTTCTTCACGATCCTCTTCCCTGTACAATATACATAAGGACGCTACCAATGGTTAATATTCTGCCAAGAAAAGTAAAAAAAAAAAAAAAAAGAAAAAAAAATTTCAGCTTACATTTTAGCCAATACGTAACCAACGACCCTTCCTTTATGATCTTCGGCTACAAATGATAATTGCGGCCATGATAACGCATGGTAAAAATCTAGAGAATTTAAGATACGATTTCACAAAAATGTGAAAAAATTTATTAATAGAATTAATAGATGAATGCATGATCATACATTCTAATATAAATTACTAATAAGAGACGACAAAAACTTGAGATAACGAACTCAAAAATCTCAGCGTCTACTAACAATATTTCATCTGATAATTTTCTGGAAGATTCATTATATTACAATTCTGCATTGCTAACAGGTCGTCAGTCTAAAAATAGATATAAATGTTGAGCATTGTAAGAGCCCGTAATAATTTTGTAAAAAGTATAAAAAAAAATGCGTTGAAATCCATAACAATTATTAGAACCATATAAAATAAAGTCGTTGAGCAAATGTATCGGGTTAAAATGAGATTGAATTTATGAATGGAATGGATTTGTTCGTGTCATACCGTTGCTTGCCTAATATTCATCTTTAAACGAAAGTGAAAAACTAGACATTCTGTCCTTGATCTTGTTCCCGGCAAAAATATGTCAATCGGTTACGTAATCAGCAATTTACACAAGTTGCCAATTAGTTCGTTATTAATATACGAACGACCAATTAACGAAGGCCACATCACATTTCTTACTCTAATAAAATTTATATAAACTGACAATTTATCCAAAACAGAAACATCTTTTCTAATTCTTTTTTCAAATCTTCCCTTGTCTTCATCTTTCTTATTCTCATAAATACATACCGAAGGGTTAAATAATTTGATTTAACAAAATGGTAACACTCTTTCGATCTTTTTGTTTTTATGCCAAAATACTAAAGAGATTTCGACTTACCTTACTCACCTAATCGTTTATATTTAATAGTCTGGAAGTAAAAGCCTTATTCGAAAGAAAAACATGGCGTACGCTTCAAATGTTCACAACCGTGGTCATGTTAAGCCTTCTTTGGTACTTTTTCATAATAATAATCCTACAATTCACCTCTATATTGTATTTTAAAAATCTTTACCAATTTTTTTTTTTTTTTCATGGATACAGCGAAAAGAAAAGGAAACTAATTTTCCAGTTGGATACCTCACATTGGGTATCATCCTCTTTGCGGTTATTGGTTCTGCTATTTTCGAAATTTTAAAATTCATCTAGATTTTCCTTAAAAACCCATGCTGATGGTTTTATAACTTCTTTATCCTATAATAATGTAAATTAGACAAATAATATAGACCAAGGAATTCACTCCTTTAATTGCACGCTCCATGTCTCCGCATAATTTAATTAGTGAGATTACCTTATAATTAAGGATCATTTATCAATAAATAAATTTCAAAGTAAAAAAGTTTGAGCATACATTATTAGTGAAAACATATAAAATATCTGAAAGCTTTATTTCAACTGTGTTCTGATCTAGACTAATGCTTTCTAATGCTTTCTTCTTTGTAAGAAAGAACGACAGTTTAATAAGGTTGTTTGAATTTATCAGAGAATTGATGCAGGATTGTTTCTTTTTTTTTTATAAGAATAGTGCCTCGAGATATTGGTGATACTTTTCAAGGTTAAATATTTCTCGATCAAATTCCTGGGTTCTAATTTGCAGATTAGCCTGATATTTTTTGATATTTTTTTAACACCAAAAAAGATAATTGGTTGAACCGTAATGATATCGACAATACTTAAATCACTTGGGCATTGCCCGAATCATGATTCCGAATCATCGGACGATTCATAATTTCCCAATAAAGAACCTAACGTATTGTTATTGTTAACCGAGGTTGGTTTCGTTTCCAACTTTTTCCTTTTTACCACAATGCCAAGGTCGGAACAGGGGTCTTTTCGTTTTTCTGCCGTTGAATTATGTGAGGCCGATCGTGAAGTAGTTGTGAATTTAGGTAAATTCATGGATTTTGCAGATTCTGAAAGTAATTGGGAAAGATCGGGCTCTTTATCATCAAGAATCCTTCTGACTGTGTCTCCATCAACAGTATGAAATATAGATCTAGCCAGTTGGTAATCTTCATCGTCTAGATTTTCTTCTTCCTTTTTCTCAACTGACCGATCAGATTCGACTAATCTTTCCAATACTGCATCTGCATCAACACGCTCGTTTCTTGCGTTCCTTGTTCTAATCTCGTCTAGAGCGTCCAAAATATCCATTTCTCTCTTAGAGTCTATAGTACGATTTTCTAACGCCTTCATCGGATTATTTTCTTCTTCTAGTTCCTTTTGTAACTTGGACTCCTCTCCTGCGATTCTTTCTTCTCTCCATGGCTCGAAATTTCTTGACGCTCCATGTTCGGCGACATAGTCGGTATTTTGCGGATCAGTTTTAAAAGTAATTTCTGCCGAACACCTCGGACATTTTATATAAAATCGAAATATTTTTATGCTATAGTAAGTTTCTCCTTCGACAGTCTCTTTGCGTGCGTTGAATTTTTTCCCCTTATAAATGTATTCTCCGCAAGTCTCACATCTCATGGCGTACGGTGTCATGAGACGAACCTAATCAATTATCGATTAAACGGAATAATGATTTAATTAATGACACCAACAATTTAAAGGACTACAAAAATACCTTATGTTGTGCATCTTTCGCTTGCTTTCTCCTCGGAATAGCTGCGTTCCAAAATTTCAATGGACATAATTAGAAAGGCGCGTAAAGGTCGGTTAAATGATTGATTTAACTTCTTACCAGCTATTTGTAGAGGGAATGCGGGAGAAAAAGTTGTTAGACCTCATAATAAAAACAATCTTCGCGAAAACCTTACAACAATCGTGTTATTTACCAGGATCAAAGTCCGGGGGAAAATATTTGTTTAAAACTTTTCTGGATGTAAAGTGTGATCATAGGTTAATAAGCTACCTGGACAAAAATTAGTATATATTTGATTCAACATACCGTTCCGACATAGTGAAATGTCGAGTGGTTGACTAAGTTTGATTTTGACTGGATTTGTTATAATTACTGTCTGTATGACACTAATTATCTAATAAACCCCTCTCTTGGAATAATATGAAAATTTTTATTTAAAGAGGGATGTATTTAGAGAGGTAATTTTATTAAGAACTATATATACTTGAGATCAAGCCTAATTATGCATTTTAAAAAAAAGAAACATATTACTGTATATACTATTGTTGAGATATACAGTTCATTACAAAAGTCTTTGAACTGATATTTTTTATTATAATTTAATAAATAATTATTGAATTTGAATAAAACTTTAATATTTTTATTATAAGAATATCATCAATAATTTATTATAAAATATTAATTTGAAGTAAAAAAAAGATAGGTATTATTTTATTGATGAATTTTATATAGTAAAAAATACAATTTTTATTATGATAGATTTTTATAAAAAATTATTTATAAAATCAAAAAAAAATTTTTTAATTGATAAAAAAATAACAAAAAATTTCTCACTAAATGCAAATAATTTTTTTATAATTAAATTATTTTTTTATTATATAAAATTAATTTTAAAAATTTTTGATTTTACTATGATTTTTTTTTTTTTAAAACCCTCTGTCAGGCTAATTATATATGCTTTATTAAACAATTTTAAGTTGTATATATAGTATGAATCATTAAAGCTAAAACTTTAACTAGCTTACTCGTCTCAGTAATTACTCTAAGTGCAACTTTGGGAGTGATTTTTCGCTTTATTAAAAGTTCAGATGAAGATTCTTCCAACTTTTAATATCATTGCTTGCAGGTCACTGATGCAGATCACTCTTTACAGTTCTAACAGAACTCAAAACTCAACTATTTTATTTCAAATCTAACCCCTTTTGATAAGATACTGTATCTGTGAGACCTTGATCTTCTAATCTTCCTTCTTCTATTAATGAAGCTCCTCTTCTTTCTGGCGATGCAGTTTTAGGTTTTGGACCAGAAAGACTTAGAGATCTTTTTATCTTATCATTTCTTTGGATCCCCTATGTTTTTTCCCATTCTATGATTTTTTCGCATCTTACATTTCAAACCTTCTTATGAAATTGGTTGCATACTGTACTCTGTATCTTCTTTATTCATTTTCTTGCTTCTTTTCTGATTTTTTTGTCATGGCATCTAAGATCTATCATCTCGAGAACAAGGTTGCTTCTTATCAATCCTGCAAAGAAGCTCAACATATCTTGACTAGTTATCGAAGCTTGTTTCACCAGCCTGGATATTCACTTATTTATTTCTTCCAATTCTTCCCTATTCTTTATTATTAGTCTTACATTCTTCTCAGCCACTTCCTTTTTCCTTTCTTGTAGGAATTCTCTAAAGTTCTTCAGAACCCCTTCGAGACCTTTGTTCCATATTTCTTGCATCTATTCCTTGTAAGCTGAATATTCTAGCAGGTGATCGATTGTTTCTTCTTTATGGAAGCCACATGCAATACATTTCACTTGCTTATACAGATTCGGTCTTCTTATTGCCAGCTTACTCAAAGTTGATAGCTCATCGTTCGTTAATTTAATGAGAAAGCTTTTTCTCTGTAAATCTTTGAAAGATGTGTCCCATGTATGTCCATTCATTCTTTCCCATACTGAATTCAAAGTGTATTCTTGTTGTTTTTTGATTTAATGACTCCATTTCTTTTCGGTTCTATTCTGTGCTATCTATTGATATGCCATGGTCTTGTTATTTATCTTTTTGATAAATTGTCTTATGGGATCATCTAGTGTCTTGTCTTTCTACTTGATTTCTGTAGAGATTTTGTAGGAAGTGAGTTCCTTCCATTCTATTGCGGACAAGTTGAGGGCTCCTTTGGCTAAAGTATCTGCTTCGTCATTATAGGAATTATTGAAATGTGCCTTAACCTTGATAAACTTTAGATCTAGGTTTTTCTTTTTGACCAGCTCTACCATTTGTACCCATAATGACCAGTTTTTATCTTTTAGCCATCTTTTATGTGTTCTTTTTGGGTCATCTTTCTTGACTGATATCCATTTAGAGATGCAAGCTTGACTATCTGTGAAGATTTCAATTGTACTATCTATTGGAACTACTAGGAGTATTGTGATTATTGCTGTTATTTCTGCTCTTATTAATGAGGACCAATTATCTATTTCCATTTGAAATCTACTTTCCTTTCCTGCTTTATTAATTTGGATCCATGCTGCTCCCATTTTCATCATGTCACTTCCATAATTGACAAGTGGCCATCTGAATAGAAAGTCAGCTTTTGATTGGATCTTTGATTACACTGAAGTATCTCTAATAAGTGATCTTGATATACCCCTTCTTTAACACTTGTTTTGATGATTGTTTCTTTCCAATTTTCTATATTTACATAGTCTATTCTGGTGCACTAAGAAGGGAGCGGCAAGAAAGAATTTTGTACTATAACCCAATTATCTTGTATTGCTCTTTTGATTGCTTTTTCTAGTAAAATCTTGGGGCTTGGAATTGTTAACATCTGGACTCTTCTGGTATCTTTTCTTGTATTGAGATATGGCATCGTGTATATCTTATTTATATCTTCTTCTATTATACAGCTGTTTTCTTGAATACAACCCTTCAAGCAATCTGAGCATTTTATCCAATTTGTTTTCTAGTTGTTTTTATTATTCTGACAGCTATAATGTTGGATCTTTACTTTATTTCTTGTCCCTTCGTGTACCAGTTTTTCTCAAGACAATTGATAGTTAGGATTCTTTTTGACTACCTATATCTTTTGCCTTTTGTCTCGATCGACACTTACTTTAGGATATACTAGTTTCCATTTTGTCTGATCTATTTTTCAAGATTCTATGAGCTGGTTTAGAAGATTTCCAGAAAGTATCTTGTTTATAGTTAAGAATCATTCTGGAATGGACCTTTTCCTGTTTTTTGAATAAGTTGAAGTATTCGCCATTTTCTAAATTCATTTGCCTCATTATCAACAAGTTGATCTATATATATCATCTTGTTATTTCTTAATGATGGAATG